GCTGTCACTGATCGCCTCCTTATTTTCCAGGAGACAGTTTCCTTTTTATAGCATAAGGATGAGTTTAAAAGCCAGTGTTTTACCCAAAGCCTTGCAAATTCCTCCTGGAGCCTCTGACAGTTGTCGATTTTATCTGGTGCATAATCCAATGCAATTTAGTGGTTTTTCAACAGTCCAAATCCCCTATAAACTCTATTTCAGCAATTAAAGGTTCATCTCTCTGAAAACTAAGGCATCACTATCTTTTACTTGGCTCCAAGTAGGCAACATTATTTCCAAAAACAGGAAAACATGTATTAGTTGTTTGCTATTAATGCAAAGTCCTTGAAGAGAACTTTGATTTTACCTGTTCTTTTGGGGAATCAGCAACTCTTTACAAATCACTTTGCTTCCAAATAAGTTTGAGCTTCACGTCTGTGCACCTTAAGAGTCTGTAACTGTCAGCTTTAGGAAGAAACCAAATGCAATTTTCACCATGAGCTCAGGAAATTCAAGGTTTTGGCACCTGGTCTTCATTGTATATTGGGCAATAAATACCTAGTTAAGGCAGCAATAAAGTAAGAAGGCATTATAATTTGTAATACACCGCCTTCCCACTAGACTTAAAAGATGGGAGCAATAGAACAGAAAAAAAGGCAAGAACATTTAAAGCGTTTACAAAATTGCAAGGTGACAATTCAGGTATTTCAATGTGTACAACGTAATTCAAAAACATATTTTAGCTTTGTTTCCAAATAGGAAGCAGCTTTTCAATTGCTATCCCTAACTATTTGGTACGGAGGGGTTTTTTTTCTTGTTATTGTTTTTTGTTTTCCATCCCATAGGTAACACAGTTGCTCTGGCACTCAGGACCAGATCCTGAGCTGCTTTAGCACAGGTCACTGCACTCCAACAGCACCCACACAGGGCAAACAAAGAAAGTGCCCAAAGCCATTTGACCATCAGAAAGGAGCTTTGCTCAGGGACAAGGGACCGATATTCCCAACTCCCTACCGGACTCAAGTGTCTCTTTGCAGCTCTGAGCATCCAAATAATTCTGATACTGATGCCATTTGTAATGATCTCAGGTGGGTAGCCAGCACAGGGGCATCCTGCTGCCACCAACAGATCGGTGGGGACAGGAACACACAGACATTTCCCACTGGGAAGAACCAGGAGCACAGCTGTGCACCTCTAACAGATAGCAGAATCATAGAATGATTTAGGTTGGAAGCGACATTAAAGATCATCTAGTTCCACCCCACTGCCATGGGCAGGGACACCTCCCACCAGCCCAGGTTGCTCCAAGCCCCGTCCAACCTGGCCTTGAACACCTCCAGGGATGGGGCAGCCACAGCTTCTCTGGGCAACCTGGGCTGGTGTCTCACCACCCTCACAGGAAAGAATTTCTTCCTCATATCTCATCTAAGTCTCCCCTCTTTCAGTTTACACCCATTCCCCCTCGTCCTATGGGTCCCCTCCCTGATCAAGAGTCCCTCCGCAGCTCTTCTGGAGCCCCTTTAGGCACTGGAAGGGGCTCTAAGGTCTCCCTGGAGCCTTCTCTTCTCCAGGCTGAACACTCCCAACTCTCTCAGCCTGTCCTCCCAGCAGAGGGGCTCCAGCCCTCAGATCATCCTTGTGGCCGCCTCTGGACCCCTGCCAACAGGTCCATGTCCTTCTTGTGGTGAGGACCCCAAAGCTGGACACAGCTCTGCGCAGACTCCAGCAGCGGGAACTGCAGACACCCTCCCCTCCCATTTCCTAGTGTATGTAGTGACAGGATGAGGGGGAATGGCTTCAAACTGGAAGAGGGCAGGTTTAGATTAAACATTAGGAAGAAGTTTTTCACTCTGAGGGTGGTGAGGCACTGGAACAGGTTGCCCAGAGAGGTTGTTGAGGCCCCATCCCTGGAGGTGTTCAAGGCCAGGCTGGAGGTGGCCGTGGGCAACCTGGTCTGGTGGGAGGTGTCCCTGCCCATGGCAGGGGGGTTGGAACTCGATGATCTTCAAGGTCCCTTCCAACCTAAAACATTCTATGATTTTGCATCTTTACCGATTTTGTGTTTCACTGCAATTTTACACTACAGTCATTTATTAAGAGGTATATGAAGAGTGTGGGGGGAAAAAAAAAAAATATATATAAAAGGAAGCATCTTTCACCGTAAGAGGCATGACTGTTATTATGCTCAGGTGTTGGCAGTCGCACTGACCTACCATCTCTAACGCAAACCCTTGGTGTAAGCCATCTGCCTTCTCCCTGGTGTCAGGAGGCTGCCCCAGACAGCACAGCTCGGCACAGAGGGGATTCACTTCTCCGGACGCAGGCGGGTTATTAACACAGTGCAACTGCTCCCCGTGCAGGCACAGGCACTGCACAGTTGCTCTTTGTGGATCACACCCTCCTCCCAGGAGGATAAGAAGCTCAAAGCTCTCAAATACAAAGCTGGCATCACATCCACTCCCTGCATTTCATGCTTCTGCTCAGTTATGCTTGTCTGTAGAGTCCAATCCCAGACTGGCAGGGGTTGGAAGGGACCTCTGGAGATCACCCAGTCCAACCCTCCTGCCAGAGCACCACAGCAGGTTGTACAGGAACGCATCCAGGTGGGTTTTGAATGTCTACAGAGCAGGAGACCCCACCGCCTCTCTGGGCAGCCTGTGCTCTGCCACCCTCAAAGTAAAGAAGGTTTTCCCCATGTTGAGATGGAATTTCCCGTGTTCCAGTTTGTGCCCGTTGCCCCTTGTCCTGTCACTGGGCACAACTGACCAGAGTCTGGCCCCATCCTCTTGCCACCCGCGCTTTAGAGACTGATCAGCATTGATGAGATCCCCTCTCAGCCTGAACAGCCCCAGGGCTCTCAGCCTTTCCTCACCAGAGAGATGCTCCAGTCCCCTGGGCATCTTTGTAGCCCCCTGCTGGACTCTCTCCGGTAGTTCCCCACCCTTCTTGAAGTGGGAAGCCCAGAACTGGACCCAGTACTGCAGATGTGGCCTCATCAGGGCAGAGTAGAGATGGAGGATGACCCTCCTCAACCTTCTGGCCACATTCCTTTTAATTCACCCCAGTATATTACTGGACCTCTTGGCCACCAAGTGTATATTGCTGGCTCACGGAACAAGCAACAGCTTAACGGAGTGATACCAGCTCCTCTGCCCCTGCAGCTCCCCAGCAGCATTCACAGGGACTCACACCAGCTGCTGAGACCAGCGTGGCACCACAGCTCCCCGCTTCCTGCTGGGGGTCGGGAGCAGCCAGCAGCAGACAAAGCCGCCCGGTTTACACACTGCCTTGGAAAAGAACAAATCTGATTGTAACATGGGTTAAATTAACGCGTAAGAACAAAAGACTTCCTCTTCCTCAGTGAGTCCCCCTGACATAAGAAATTCAGTAACTGATTAGAAAAACAATTAGTGTTTTCTGATTTTTCAGAATCACACTGAAGCCAAACACACACACCCCATAGGATTCAACTCCGCATATCAGCAGAAATTGGGGGGAGGAAATCAATCACCAGAGGAATTTTTTTTTTCCTCATTTATTTAGTGTAGAAGCTCACTTTTGCACTGAAGTTCCCAGCTAGGAACAAGGGGCTTAGCCATTTCTGATGCAAAGCGAGCAGCAGGCCCAACAAAGTCCTCCAGCTGCAGCAAGGCTGACGCAGTCCAGCACCAAAACTGGATCCACACCAGCCAGAGCTCCCCAGGTGACCCCAAATCCGCATCCCTGCGTGCCACCCTGGGCCACCTTTGGTGGCAGGAGCAGCCTGAGGAGCTGCTCGCTCTCCACCATCCTCCCAGGCTGCAGCAGGGACGCCAGAGCCGCTCAGCACTGTCACACATGACGGTCTATGCAGCATCTTGAGAACTGGGGCATTGCTAGAACATAGAAACCCTTGCAGAAACCTGATCAGTCTAATGTCATTGCCTCAAGGCAAAGGGAAGGTGGACATCCTCCAAGCAAGACAGCCCTATACAGTTCGGGTTTTTTTAATTTCTGTATCAGGCTTTAACTATGAATTGATCTTATTTAGTTCCTCAGGATTTGGTGTTCCTTCCCTGTAATTAGCAGTGGGTTCAGTCCCCCTGCAATGAAGCCATGGTGGCCACTCTTAAGATGACAACATGTTCCCCTAGATCATCAAATGGTTTGGGTTGGAAGAGAAGGTCATCTAGTCCACCCCCCCCGCAATAAGTAGAGACATCCTCAACTAGATCAGGTTGCTCAAGGCCCCATCCAACCTGACCTGGAGCATTTCCACATCCCCACAGCCCTTCAGCTTCTGCTGTCAACACACCTCCAACCCCCGCTCAGCTGCTGCTCATCCCCAGAGGTTCCTCAAAGGAGGTTTTGACATTAAAGCTCACTGAAGGCCAAAAGCTTCTGGGAGCTCAGCGCACAGCTCATGCCTACGGGATCTGTTACATCTCTGCTTCCACCACTGCAGAAACCACAACAGGCTCCGTGACAGGAAGATATGGCTGCCCTCCAGTTCAGCGAGGTACTCAGAGGACAAGGATGAGGGGACAGGGTCCTCTTCACCTCAGGGGGGAAGCTTTGCCACCACACAGAATAAACACTCCAGCCACCAGGCCAGTGTCTGGATTTGTTCCCATTCCCTCCTCACCACCTCATCTTGTTCAGTTTCAGTTAATAGCCAGAGGTAGAAGAAAAAGGCTACCGGGGATTCCCAAACTAGATGCACAGCACTCAGCTGGCTCAGCCCATCTGCCACTTCAGGCATCACCAAAACATTCATCTAGTCAGTAACCTGACACAGAGCAGCGCAGCTTCAGCAGATGCTCCAACACCAGCCCGTGTAGGAGGACAGCACCCCAACACTTTTAATCTCCTTAGAAGACTTGGAAAGCCCAACTCCAGACCTTTGGCACACTTGGCAAGTGTTTCTTTGCCCAACTCTCTTCAGTCCTATCATACCAAAACCTTTAAGTGGCTGGAGACCTCAGAAGATACCAGAAGTGGAAGGGATGAGTGGCTCCGTGTTAATTCACTCCCTTCAGAGGATGGGAGGAGGTTTGGACGGCATAGCACATCACCCCTGGGCTCCAGCAGACACCTGCCCCATCCAAAAGCCACCAGTAGCTCAGGATAACGTTACAATTGACACCAGAACAAGACAAAGTAACTCTCCCCACAGCTTCCCACACCCTGAACCACCAGGCCTCCTAACAAGGAAGGAAAGCTTGGGCACAAAGTTTGAAGTACAGCTCTGCACCACACACATGCTGTAATATCCCAACTTTCTACGTTAGTAAGAGCTGTTCGCCAGTATCTAACCCAAGCCAGTCTAGCATTATTGGCAACACCACTCCAGCAGACTGCCAAGCCGTTCACCCACCCACCATTTTAAGCAAACCATTCCACTGCTCTGCTTGCAAATGTGAAGGCTCTGGTGCATCACACAAGCATGAGCACTCCTGGGCCCACGTGGTTTTGTGGGTGAAAGCTGAGGACAGCAGGGCAGGCCCTCTGCCTGTCCCCAGGGCAGCACCCACCCCTCTGGGAAGACCACTGTGAGTCAGTGGAAGCCCCACAGCCATTAAAAACTTTATGAAAAGCAAACGCGCACACGTCAGTCGGGCAGGGAGACTATTTATTGAGTAGGGCTGTGCCAAGACGCTGTCGATGTAACAGGAAAGCCCCGGGAGCTTCTGGCGACAGCCTCATCCTCCCGGCGCTCAGTCCAGCTGCAAGAGAGCGAGAAAGGCGAGAGGCATCAGCGCGGGAAACGGCACACCCCACCACCCCCGCAAGGCCCCGGCCCTCACCTTGATGAAACCGATGTCCTTGGCGTACTGGCGGAAGCACTGCCGGCACATGTTCAGGCCGTACTTGCGGATGAGGCCGTGGCGGTTGGAGCACACGCGGCTGTGAGGGGAGAAAAGAGAGAGCGAGGCCGGTCATGGCGGGTAATGGCGGCACAGGGTGGGGAAAGAAAGGAGGGATGGAGCGAGGCGGCGGTTGCCGCGGACCCGGGGAGCCCAGCGACCACGGGGGCGACCCCCGGTGCGCGCACTGACCAGGAGCGGGATCCCTGGCCGAACTTCCTGGGGTGGCTCCAGTAGAGCTGCTGGTGCCCCATGCTGCCTGCTGCGCGCCCAGCCTGCGAGAGGAAGATGGCGGCCGGCGCATGCGCTAATCAACCCTGCCCCGCATCCCGGCCTGCAGCGCGGCGCGCCTGCGCAGCCACCCCCATCCCCC